GGTGTACAAGTATACCTGATTAAAAAGGGTTTTCCAAAAAGAGTGGGTCGATGTTAAAATTATGGCATGATGCAAAAATTTTTTTTTAGAAGAAATAATTTTCTGTAGGTAATCTTATATATAGCGCCTCTGGTCCAATTTTCACTAAAACTGAAACTCATGAGACTGTCTATTTATTCAAAATTAGAACTTCGATTTATGGTTTTTGAAGGTAATATATCTTACTGTTGAAAACCCCTTTATTCATAATAACTCAAACTTAAACTCGAAAAGAGCCTGTGAATCTTTTATATTATGTTGTGCATATAAAGTTGTCATTATGCAAGCATATTGTCCATGAAAAGTCTTTTACATGTCAATGTTATTCAAAATTATAACTTGCATCTTAAACATCTGTGGCAGACTAATGTAGACTAATGGTAATAGTAGTAGTCATAGTTATTTCAACTACTACTTCTCTTGCTATATTTCAAACAAAAGATGAGGTTGTAAAACTTCATTTCAGACAATGCTTATGTGGTATGCAAAACCAGCAAAAGAGAAACGGAAAAAAATACACACACACACACCATAAGGAATATCTTCTAACTCTATTAAAATGAATAGTAAAAGGCAACTTAATAGCTGCTACAGTAGAAAAGTTACTTAAAAAACAGCATGTGTTAGTAATGTTGGGGCCCATTAATAGGTCTGGTGTACTTTTCTTTTATTTTTTCACATACATAGGAGGTATTAAAGCAGTTATTAAATTATTATGGGCTGGTTACAGAGAAATGTTTTGGAATTTGTTCAGAGATTAGTTAAAGGTGTAAATATGGTTTGGAATGGTAACTAAAAGCTTTTAGTAAAAGATGATTTATGGAAATTATGCTTTTACAACAACTAAAGCATTTTATAATATTTATTACTTAATAATATTACTCATAAAAATATACAAATATTTTTGAATTATTTAGTCATTTACCTTCTTTGGCTTTACATTGCCCAGTAAGCGTTAACTCCAATGACTTCGCGATCACTAAGTTAAACTGTTAATGACTTAGTTGGGTTTTTAGTATGCTTATGTTAATTATTACTGATTTCTTTTTTTAACTAATAATTAAAATTTATCTTCAAAAGAAATTCCATTGAAAAACTATCCACCATGTTTATTTTAATTAATTTTCTATAAACTATAAAAATTTGTCAAAAAATAGACTATAAAGAAAAACAAATTTCCCTCTATAAATTTGTTTGTATAAAAATAATAATTTATTTGTCACCCTTTTATAGCTAAAATACTCATATTTAATGTTAAACAAATGTCATTCCCATTCCTCCTACTGCTCTTCAATTTATCACAAAATATATTTAAACAATTTTTTTTTGTTTTCTCTGTTTAGTTTTATAAGTATTTGTCCTTTAGTTTTCATACTTAATATTAATTAATGTCTATTTTTCAAAATGTACACACAGAAAACTATTAAAACACAGAGAAAAACAACAACAAAAATATTACAATAAAAAAACGAAAAACTAACAATTATTGCTGCTGTTGCAGTTGTTTATGTTATGCAAACATAAATATTAGTTTTGTTTTATTTTTTCTATATTTCTTTTTTTTGTCTTCATCCAATACTTTTATTTTAATGTAACTACACAATTTATTTCAAATATTGCTACTGCTGATGACGATGACAAACACAAAGACATAGAAAAATGTTTGTACAACTAAAGTTAGTGTTGTTGTTGTTGCAGCAGCAACCAACAAGAATATAAATTTAAATTATAACATTATAAATATGCTATGATTACTACTACTACCATTGCAATTTGCTATGAATATGTTTGTTTATATACGTACAACAAAATTGAGTTGACAAATTTATTCTGTTCAGATACATGTAAGTTTGTTGTCGTATATTTGGATTTTTAATAGCTGCACACAATTAACATAATTGATTAGATTGTTTACACAACAACCAAAGTAATAAGCAGCTGCTGCAAGAATATTTAGATGCAGCAGCAGTAACATCATCCTCAGCAGAGGTAGCAGCTGTGCAAAATTCTGTTTACAAAATGATAAAAACCTATAGGTACTTTTATATATAAAACAAAGCTAGCTATTAGCTATTGTTCTCATAAATATTATAACTAGTTAGTTAGTATACTTTAAGCTAAACCAATATAGAAAATTTACAAATATCTATTAGTAAAGGGTGTACAAATATTTAAGCAAGATTTGAGTTAAAGCATTTAGATTGTTACTTTTATAAAGAAAAAAAAATGTAGTATGGAGAAAACTTTCAAAAGAAATACAACAACATTATGGTTACCAGGTACTTGTCGCAAGTTTCTTGATTTCGAACCAAGTGAAATTTGTTTATTTGAAGCAATTAAAAAAAAAAATACACCCTTTAACAGTACATATTTTAAATATTCCTAATGTGTTATATTCATTATCAACATTGTCATTATAAACGTCAGATACTATTAGTGCACAATGGAAGAAAAGTTATCCATAATTCGTACAATTCTAGGTTTAGTCATAAGAACTCACAATTTTTGAGAGTAATCAAAAAAGAGTAATCGAGGCGTATTAAAAAACACTCATACGCCTTGAAACTCTTCGAAAAGCTTTAATTTGCATAATCTGTGGCGAAGCTAGTTCTGAAACTGATTTTATGTTATGCAAATCTTTCAAAATTTCAAGGAAAACTTTACTGTAAGAAGTGTTACGTAGCGTATGAGTATTGTAAACAAATTAGATAGAAATCATACGCCGGAATAAAACACAGTGGTTGGTTCGTGTAACTACTAACTAACTAACTAACTAACTAACTACTAACTAACTAAACTAACTAACTAACTAACTAACTAACTAACTAACTAACTAACTAACTAACTAACTACTAACTCTAACTAACTACTAACTAACTAACTAACTAACTAAACTAACTAACTAACTAACTAACTAACTAACTAACTAACTAACTAACTAACTAACTAACTAACTAACTAACTAACTACTAACTAACTAACTAACTAACTAACTAACTAACTAACTAACTACTACTAACTAACTAACTAACTAACTACTAACTAACTAACTACTACTAACTACTAACTAACTAACTAACTAACTAACTAACTAACTAACTAACTACTAACTAACTAACTAACTAACTAACTAACTAACTACTAACTAACTAACTAACTACTAACTAACTAACTAACTAACTAACTACTAACTAACTAACTAACTAACTAACACTAACTAACTAACTAACTACTAACTAACTAACTAACTAACTACTAACTACTAACTAACTACTACTAACTAACTAACTAACTACTAACTAACTAACTAACTAACTAACTAACTAACTACTAACTAACTACTAACTAACTACTAACTAACTACTAACTAACTAACTACTAACTAACTAACTACTAACTAACAACTAACTAACTAACTAACTAACTAACTAACTACCTAACTACTAACTAACTAACTAACTAACTAACTAACTAACTACTAACTAACTAACTAACTAACTAACTAACTAACTAACTACTAACTAACTACTAACTAACTACTAACTAACTACTAACTAACTAACTAACTAACTAACTAACTAACTAACTAACTAACTAACTCACTAACTAACTAACTAACTAACTAACTAACTAACTACTAACTACTAACTAACTAACTAACTAACTAACTAACTAACTAACTAACTAACTAACTAACTAACTAACGAACTAACTTAACGAACTAACTAACTAACTAACTAACTAACTAACTAACTAACTAACTAACTAACTAACTAACTAACTAACTACTACTAACTAACTAACTACTTACTAACTATACTAACTAACTAACTGCGCAAGGAAAACTGGGGACTTCCTTCATTTTTTAGCCTTTTGAAGAGATAATCTGAAACCACAGCGGAATTGCACCTAAGTCTCTCGCACTTGGAAGGAATTCTTACTTTAAAACATTCTGTCGTATTCAGTATGTATAGTAATGTAGACAAATGTTTATTTTTGATATATATTTTTTTTGAAATACAAAAAACCCTGAAGGAAGAACATCAATTTTAAAACCATCAATAAATGATCTACAGAAAACTAAATCCCTGCTGCCACCACTTATTGTTTTATACTTCTTTCTAAAACAAACTAAAAATTTTTCTCTCAAAATTATTCATAAAAATAGATCAAATTTAATTTTATACATATAGTAAATTCTTTGGCTTTAAACGTAATTAATATTAAATTAAATGTATTTTTAATACGATAAAACTGAATAATACAAACAATTGTTTCCAATTAAAATTTCAATAGAAGAAAATCAAAAGCCCACTGTTATTTTAGTAACAAGAAAAATATCACCATCATCATTATTACTCTTATTATGATTGTCATTATTGTTATTATTATTATTGTTGCAGCCATTGAATGTGATTGGAATGACAAACATTTGCAACCGTTGATGATGATAATAATAATGATAATATTGTTGTTGTTACAGCAACTACGGCAACTATAAATAGTTTGGTGAGATGCTGGAATTTATTATTCTATGTAACAAGTCTTGAATAATGTTTGTTAAATAGACAAACACACGCACACATAAAGAAATTTATTACACAGCTAAAATATAGAAAATATAGACCAAGACATTTTTTACATTATATAGATTTTTTTATTTTAATTTCTATACTAAAATAGGAAGTAAAAGAGCAAGAGGAAATAGGAAGTAGGTAAATGAAAAAAATATATATATAGACAAACACATTTTTACAGTTACTTGCAAAATTTTATCACACACTCAATGAAAACAAATAGATTTTTTTTTGTAGAGCAAAGAGAGCATTTAGATAGGTATAGAGAGGCCGGGAAATATGTCTATGTAAGTGTTTGTAGGTGTGTGTCTTTGTAGATTATTTTCGAAAATCATCATTTAGACTTGACAGTGATTTTTCAACATTCAAACCCTAGAAAACACGTTTAATAGTTTAATTTCTTCGGGTTTATTTTTTAATTTTTTCAAGAGAACATTTTATAAAAGTTTTCTAATTAATTTTATTTATCTTCTTAAAATTGTGTAATAAAATTGTTAAAAAACATTTAACAAAAGTATTTTAGTTTTGAACAGTGTATGTGATAGTAAGTTAAAAATGTCTTTAAAATTTAAAAATGTTTTTTAAGCATAAGAGATTTTTTTTGAAAATATAATTAAATTGTTGTATTTACTTCCCTTTCCTGCTTTATTTTAAAAGTGAGTTGCCAGCTTTTAGAACTTTAAACCACATTTGTTTGAATATTTCTGTGTGTTTTAATACAAGTGTTAAAATCTTTTGCATAAGAAAAAACTTAACTTAATATTTAAAATAAATTTTTACTTATTTATTTCATTTTAGTTTATTTTGAACTATATTTAGTAAAACTTTTTAAATGACTATGACTTGTTGTCTTTATTTTCTGCTGCATGTTTCTTAGTTTGATTATGGTACAAAGTTTTATTCTTATTTTTTCCATACTTTATCTCATATATATTTTTAGTTTTATTAAAAAGTTTTTAAACATGTTTTGAGGTAAAAGAAAGAACACACAAAAAAAACACAAAATTGGAAAACTAACACCAGTTATAATAAATAGAAAATATTATACTCCAAGTGATGACTGAAGCCCCTGATAGGTGTTAGTGTAAGATTTTAATAAAGTTTGTTGAAAAACTAAATTTAAATGTCCAATTAATTGTTGAAAAAGTTTTTATATTGTTTTTTTTTGCTCTAACCTTAAAATATGTGTTAGATGTTGCAAAAAAATATGTTAAGTTTTCCTTTTAACGGTTTTAAGAGGTTTAAGTTACAATTTAAAATTTAAACTCTTTCATTATAAATTGCACTTAATAGCATTAACATTATTTTGAGGATCAATGGCAAACGAATGATAGCTACAGTTCTAAAAACTGCTACCATCCACCCACTGTACTGCAGGATATGACATGTATACTTCTTTATGACATATACCTTTTCAGCATCTCTTAACACCTACTAGAAAACCTATTATATTCCCTAACATTTTACAAAAACCTAAATGGACAATTTCTTTAAGTAATACAGACAATAATAAAATCTGAAAATAAAAATTTCCTACAACAAAGATTTCTTTCTTATAACTATATGCCAAAAAACACAAAACTTCATATAACAAGATTTTAATTTGAAATTGACACTTCTAATATCATAAAAAAGAATTTAATATTCTCTAGAGACTTAAAAGGAAAAAATAAAAACATTTTCTTCAAACTAAAGTGGGAAAAAACAAAAGACAAAAAAATGGAAAATTTTCAACAGTCAACAAAATGTCAATTGAATTAATTGTTTAAGTGTCACAAAATGTAGGTGTTAAAAACTAAAACGTTTTAACTTCGTTTTTTTTCAAGCATTTCTTTATTTGGTATCCTAAGTTTTAAATTATTAAAAAAAGTAGGATAGTCTGCTTTGGTGTGACAGCTGTTATGAATGTGTCCATGTACTATATGTAGATGTCTGTATAAACATATGTATGGGTGTAACTGTTTAAGAAAATGTGTGAAAATTTATTTTAAAAAAGTTCTTCTTTTTTAGACAAATAATTTCATTGCTGAAAATTATGCTCGAAGGTTGAATTTGTAAAATTGTTTAACTATTTTTAACACCTGCTACCATTTTGGGGAATTTAGACATTTTACAATTTATAGAATTTTTTATACAAAATTATGGGTTTTAAATAGTTAAGGGAAAATGACGATAGGTTTTTTTATTTTGAAATATATTATGCCTTATGCAAAAAAGATTATTAAAGTTAACATTGGTTTACTACACAGTTTTTATACCCTATAGTGGGGAGGGTATTATACGTTTGTGCTGATGTTTGTAATGCATTAAAATATTGGTACTACAGTATACCGATCGACTAAGAATCACTTTCTGAGTCGATTAAGACATGTCCGTCCGTCTGTCCGGCTGGTACATACAAACCCCTTTTTTAAAAATATCTTAAACGTCTAAAAATTTACTTATAACTATTAGTATCGCGATGATAATGATAACTAAACTTTATATAAAATTACATCCCTCTTCCCAACTTGACCCTAACTACCATATTTGCCCTAACTCCCATAAAAAACATTTTTTAGAAATTTAGTTTTTCATCAATAAATTGCTTAAATACATCGGAATTAAGGTAAAATTCAACAAATAATTTATGAAAAATAGTTTTTAAAATATACCACATACTTTCCTACTTGTTTCATATAAAAACAACAAACTTCCATTGGTTTTTAAGAAGATTACTTATGGGTGGTGGAATCCACACTGCTATTAACAACCAGAGTGGTGATTTAGATGCTTGAATTACCTCAAGCTTGGAGTCTGGACTAAGTTCAACAAGCTTAGCAAAAGTTTCCAATCATCTGCTAATTCTTAGCCGGAAATGCCAGAGATTTAGGGGTGCAGTTCATTGCCATGTCTTCTTTCATTCGGCTAGTATAGGAAAATCTCGTGAAGAGCTCCGTGGTAACTCCTCCAGGGCGGCTTGGCGAACAAGATTGGCATCCTTCGCGACATGTAGATGACCTTCTTCTGAGAGGCTATATTGGTTCCCCTTAGCCGGATGACTCTGACTTCCTACCCTGAGTAAATATTGATGGTGATATCATGCTCACCACCGCAGGACAGATCCACTTCCCCAAACTTCTGAGTGGCAGAAGATTCTCCAAAGGAGAAGGTCGTCTACATTACAGTCCTTAAAAATCTGCCCCCATACTCCAAGATCCTGGGATGAACGTCAGTGTTATTCCGCCGTCTAACGATAAGTCTGTTTCACCACTTTCCTAACTATACCGGTCCCAGAAAACCGTCGTGTTTCCTTACTTTAGTTCTGTCCGCTTCTCCTACATCATTATATTATTTGGATCATACACACAGTGACGGCGTACGTGTGCTGGTTAACTTTACACGCTTTACACTAAAGCTGAGGGGAGCTGTTAACAGCTAATTTATTTATACACTAATTGGCCATATAGGCCCTCGGCACTACTAACATCCACCTTGACTACGTGATCCAGCAATGGACAATAAGGTATCGTCTTTATCATGATTATAAAGCGAAAATTGCTACAATCATTTCATGGTTGCATGAGAAACCTTTAGTTATAGTCTCCTAGAAATCGAGAACCTACAGCGAGTTGAGTCCAAAGAAGACCAATAAGCTCGCAAAGACCTGACAACTGAGTGTACGTAAGCCTTCACATAGTGACAAGATTCTTACCCAGGCGAAGGAAATAAGTTACTTCCCACTTTGAATACAAATTAAACGTCTCGTATATTTAGCGGAGTTTCTAATATATATAAAACAAAAATGTATGAAATTTTAGATTTCTAACACCTTTAAATCCTGCGAGTTTTTAAGAGACGAATGGACGGACTGACATGACTAGATCAATTAAGGATCTAATAAATATGCAAGTAGATCTGCAACCAAAGCTTCGATATGTTACAAATGAAATGAACAAATCAATATGGGACTTTCGATCGTGCTGGGTTTCTCTATATTTTTCTCTAAAGTAATATATTTCATTTATTCTAGCATTAAAATTTTTGTTTTCTAGGAATCTTAAAGACTTGCCAAAAACAAAATTCCTTTGACATTAATAATTTTTCTCCCTCCATATTGTCTTCAATATGTTGTAAACAACTAATACCTAAGAATTTAACAGAAAACTTAACTAAATAAGAAATTTTTTCTTTATATTTTGTTCCCTTTACAGATTTACTTTAAAACGTTGACAATGATGCTGGGAATGATGTGGCACGTAGTGATGAAACAAAATTTAAAAGTTTCTACAACTATTTACTTTTAAAACAAAAGAACAAAAACTAAAATTACACATAAACATACACCCCCTCTTAGAGTTTTAAAAACCTGCTACACAATTTTACAACTAACTACTACTTACTTCCACTACCACTACTGCTAACACACTCAAACAGACGGAAAGGAAAAGAAGAATTCACCCCTAAAGCCTTAAAGCATAAGTTCGCGCTAAACACTCATACCAACAACTAAAGTTAATGCTACTGCTACTACTACAACTTCAACTACATAAAGGAAACTACCACAGAAGCATAGCAAGCAGCCCAAGAAGCTAAAAAAAACGTGTAAAGAAAAAAAGTGAAAAAATACAAAACGTTTTATGTTTATGATAGAGAGTCATAAGTATTTGTCAGCATGTGCAAAAGTGTATGTGTCTAAGACTGTGAGTTTTTTTGTGACTGAATGACAGAGTGCTGTTGGTTAGAGAGGAAAGGAAACGAAAACAAAAACTTATGGCGCCGTTAAGTAAATAAAAAATGCAACTCTGTATATTACACACATTGATTGCTCCTGCTGTTGTGGTTGTTCTACATCCTGTTCTTGCTATTGTTGTTTTTTCTGATTATTATAGACGGGCTTTAAAGAGTGATTGTTAGAAAGATGTTGACGACAATGACACTGATGAAGGTACTGTTGTTGTTGTTGGTTACAAGTGATAAAATAATTTGACTCTCTATCAAGTGTTTTCTTCTATGTGTGTGTTTGAAAATATCCTAAAGAGACGTGAGCTTATTATTATAAAAAATAACAACTATTAAGAGACAAAAAAACTATTAAAATTATGAACAAATATTTAAACTTATGGCCACTTGTATAAAAATGTTAGTGTATTGTGTCAATTCTCAGACAATGCACTTTAAAAACACAAACAACCATTTAGCTGCTCAACTTATAAAAACATAATAATATTTGAAACTTTCTTCTTAAGAAAACCAAAAAGAAAAACAAATCTTTAAGGCTGCTGCAACACCTTAAATAAAAGTTTTTTTTTAATAGCAAGAGATAAAAAAGAAGAAAAGTAAGAAAACAAAAATTAAAAAAAACCCACCCCTTTCATTAAAATAGCACTTAGTTTTAAAAATTTATAACAAATAAAAAAAAATAAAAGTAAATTAACACTCTACTACTAATACTGCTACTATTACTAATACTACGTCTATAAAAACAAATTTCAACTACTTGCAACAGGACTCTATAACAAAAATAAATTCATTATTTCAACAAAAGAAAAACAACAACCAACAAAAAAAAAAACGTTAGTTGTTAGTGTCTGCTTCCAAAAACCAAAACGTGTTCAAAAAAAAACATCACACCTACTTAGGCAACGGAACTGAAAACCAAGAAAATTAACAAACAACTACCAAAAAATAAAATTTCATCATTACAAATACAACCACCAAAGAATTAAACAAAAAATCAAAAAAAAAAAAAAAATATATAAATTTATTACCAAACTGTGCAAAAGTGTTTCATCAAAATTCATATAGTGAAATAAAAATAAAATAATTCAAATCAAATCGTTTTATACATTGCTCTCTATTGTTGTTGTTGTTGTTTGTTGGAGCTGTGTTATAAATTCAACGTCGCAATGCAAATAACTGTCCCTTTTAGGGCTCTGGTGATTGCCCATTTATTCTACTGTGTAGCACCAGCTGGAGGTAAGTACAATAAATAAATTTTCTTCTTTAGTTTTTTTTTTTTTGCTGTTGTTGTTGAACTTCTTCTCAAAAATAAATAAATTTCAAACCGAATTGTATGTTAGTGTTGGTGGTGAGGGACTAGAATAACTTGATATTTTAATTTATTGATGGCAATTATTGTTTTTTTTTTTTTTTTTTTTTGTAGTCCATTTAATACCCTACAATCTGCTGCAGACTATAGCTAATGAAATTGTAATAATGAAAATTTGTTCTTTGGTAAGGGGAGATTTAAACATTTGTCTAACTTAATTGTTTGATGTAAACAAAATATTTAATACATTAGAAGACCCCCACCATAAATTCAAGTCTATGATGTGATAATACAGCTGTTGAGAGAGCAATTAGTTAGACTTAAGAAGTATTTTGAAATGTATTTTGGAAATTAATAGAAGTATTTTATTTTATAATATTGACAAAACAGCAATAAACCTAAAATAAATTTTTAATTGTATAATAGAGTGTCCCTAGGAACAGCCTTTTTGGGAACCTCATGTAGGAATAACTAACCATCGAAGTGTTTTAAAATACTGAACATGAGAAATTATTTTTATTTTTCTCGTATTTAGTACATTAACACCCATCTTTTGAGAGGTATTCCTATTGTATAAGAAAATTATATTAATTGTACCTTTTAATCCGATTTTTTTAAACTAGAAATTTAACCGCAATGCTCCGTTCTTTCTACTACTCTATTTCTTATCTTTCTAAATCATCCAACCTTACCTACTCTTTAGCAGATGATAGCAACATTTTTCATTATTATTCATTCAATTATAGACCAAGTCCTTGGGAGATTGGGGCAATAAGGCAAAACATGAATGACTCAGTCAAGATCTAGAGGCAATCTTTGAATGAGCTCGTACTAATAGAGTCGATTTCAAAGCACGTAAGTCTCAATTTTGTGTTTTTACGCACAAACGCATGACAAATCATCTTTCTTCATCTAAATTTATAGGTGGTTTAAATATTAAGGAGTCAGAAGTTCTGGGCATGAGAATACAGTGTTATGTTCGCTGGTCTAAACACATATTTCAAGTGTCGAAAGAAGCATTCAAGTGTCTGGGTTTCCTTAAAAGTTGTAAAACATACTTCACTCCCTCTGACCTCCTTATTATATATACCACCGACATGCGATATAAAATGGAATGCAACTCTCATGTTCAAAGTATATTTTGGGGCTACCCTTCTTTTATGTCAAACTTCCAACCCTATCTACTATTTTGAAGATGATAGCAACATTTGTCATTCAATTATAGGCCAAGTCCTTGGGAGATTGGGGCAATGAGGCAAAACATGAATGACTCACTTAATCAAGATCTAGTGGCAATATCTGAAGGGGGTCGTGTTAATAGAGTCGATTTCAACGCACGTAAGACTCAATGCTGTGTTCTAACGCACGACAAATCATCTTGCTTGATCTATATTTATGGGTGGTGTAAGTATTACGGAGTCAGAAGCTCTGGGCATGAGAATACAGTGTTATGTTCGCTGGACTAAACACATATTTCAAGTGTCGAAAGAAGCATTCAAATGTCTAGGTTTCCTTAAAAGTTGTAAAACGTACTGCACTCCCTCTGACCTCCTTACTATCTACACCACCTACATGCGATCTAAAATGGAATGCAACTCTCATATTCCAAGTCTATTTTGGGGGTTACTCGACCACAAACAGGAGAGGCCGAAGCTACTTATCGGTGACAATAGGGTATCCAACTCTATAGATTCACTGGAGCATCGTCGGAGTAATGTGGGTGCGTTACACTGTTCTATAGGCACTATAATGGAATGTGTTTTTATGAAGGGTTGTCAAACTTCCAACCCTTCTTTTATGTCAAACTTCCAACCCTATCTACTCTTTTGAAGATGATAGCAACATTTGTCATTCAATTATAGGCCAAGTCCTTGGGAGATTGGGGCAATGAGGCAAAACATAAATGACTCACTTAATCAAGATCTAGTGGCAATATCTGAATGGGGTCGTGCTAATAGAGTCTATTTCAACGCACGTAAGACTCAATGCTGTGTTCTAACGCACGACAAATCATGTTGCTTCATCTATATTTATGGGTGGTGTAAATATTAAGGAGTCAGAATCTCTTAATGTTCTGGGCATGAGAATACAGTGTGATGTTCGCTGGACTAAACACATATTTCAAGTGTCGAAAGGAGCATCCAGGTGTCTGGGTTTTCTTAAAAGGTGTAAAACATACTTTACTCCCTTTGACCTCCATAATATCCACACCACCTATATCCGATAATGAAATGCAACTCTCATGTATGGGCCGGCGCTTCAAAGTCAATTTTGGGGGCTACTCGACCGCGTACAGGAGAGGGCGAAGCTACTTATCGGTGACAATAGGGTACCCAACTCTATTGATTTACTGGAGAATCGTCGGAGTAATGTGGGGTGCGTTACATTGTTCTATCCATACTATAATGGAATTTGTTCTTATGAAATTAGGGAACTTGTTCCCGAAACCCACATATTCACACGTAACAAACGATATTCAGCAAGAGTACACCCATTTGTGATCGATTGGCCAGTGGATCATACAATGCATTACAGGGGGAATTCGTCCTTTAGTCGCACTGTCCGCAGGTGGAACAAACTTCCCCCAGAAGTCTTTCCTGTCACTTGTTTCACTGGAGCATCGTCGCAATGTGGAGTGCGTAACACTGTTCTATCGATACTATAATGCAATGTGATCTTATGAAATTAGGAAACTTGTTCCCGAATTCACATGTAACACACGACATTCAGCAAGAGCACAACCATTTGTGGGCGATTGGCGAGTAGATCGTATAATGCACTACAGAGAGAATTCGTTCCTTAGTCGTACTGTCCGCATGTGGAACAAACTTCCCCCAGAAGTCTTTCCTGTCACTTGCAATGTAGGTAGGTTTAAATCGAATGTCGAATATCTTAAAAGACTTTATAAAATAAAACTTTTTTTCCGAATCATTATTTAAGATGAAAAATTAATCTATGGCGCTAAGATAATGCTCCATATCGAGAAAGGATCCCATTTTTATTATGAGCTGCTGAGACCTGGCCAGACCATCAAGCCTCTAACGAATGCAATTGATTCGTTCGAAACAAGAATTTGCCGAAAAACTTCCAGTATATGTGGACAGACATGAAAGCGTTATATTCCATCATGATTCCACTTGGCAGCATGTTTCAATATCTGTTGAAAACTAGTAAGAGAGAAGTGATTGGAATATTTTGTTATCTCCTGTATAGGGTTCATTTCAGGATAGGAAGTCGGTTTGTTCGTTCTTGGCCTTAAGAAATGAACTATTCATTAAATCCAGAATCCATATATTTCCAGAAATATGGAAAAAGGTCTAAGCTAACCATAAATTTGTCTTTACAAATTAAAAGAAAACCCTCAAATTTCCACTCCAATCATTTTCTACAATCAAATCATATTGTAAAAATAATATTGATATAAATTAAGACCTAAATATTTCACAATAACTGCTCAACCACTATTAAGCAATTTTTTATTACCCCTTCAAGCATTTTAAAAATTTAACTCCATTTTTAAAAAAGAATGAACAAAAAACTCTAAAGTTGTATGGCAGAGGTTGTCTTTTTCAATATATTTACTTTTTCAGTATTGATTTATTATCGAATACTCGTACCTATTTTATACATATATGACTATAGCAATACCAAGAATAAAACTTCTCTACTTTTCTACTATACAGCCCCCACACAAACACTTAAACATTCTTAACCAATACATATACTTTCAAACTACAAACTACAACAGTTTATAGATGACACAATTTATTGTAGTGTTTTAGCCTTTAAATAAATGTTGCTGAAGCACCTTTTCATATACGAGAGAGTTTAATGGCATATTTTATGCTCATATGAAGTAAAATAAAACAGAAACTATAGATGGTTGAAAAGGAGACAAAAAAAATCTTGCTTATAATATTTATTTTCAATATATAGCAAAGGTGCTGTCTAGAGTTGCTTGCTTCTGCATACAAACTGCTATTGCTGCTGCTTTTAGGTTATAAATTTACTTTTTTGTTCTATGTTGCACTATCAGCTGTATTTAACATCAGGTTACGTGTTTTCTTTTTCTTTTTTTTTCCGTTGTTGGTTGTATTTATAGTGATCATAATATTTAATAAGTACACACAAACACACATGCCGATATAAAAATATTTTCCAGCAAGTTTTCGATTTAATGTATCCTACAGGATTTTGTTTTTTATAATCCAGAGAAAAAGTTATACTGCATAACCAAGAAATCTAAATTGAAGTTCTCCTTGCAGCTTCACATCATTGATGGCTTGTTTAAAACATCCCTATAAAACTGCAGGGTTATATGTTCATCTGTATTTGGATATTTTTTTATCAGACATTGGCTACTACTTCATTTTATTTTATGATTATTTTTATATTTTTATAACTTATGGCTTTATTAAAATTGAAATCAATATAGGTAGTATTAAACAAACAACAAACCAAAAAATGGAAGTCTTTAAAGATTTCCACTACATAAATGTTAAATTTTAAAGCCTCAGACATACATATATTTCTTCTTTTAGCACCTTAGTTTTCCTGTTTTTAATAGTTCTCAAAAATATAAATAAAAAGGAGCACATGTGTTTCTTTCAGTGTATGGAGTTTTTCTTTCTTTCTTTTCTTTCCATCAAATGTTTGCTCTACATTCCTTTTTTTATTATTTAATTTTTCATTTTAACAGCAGAAAAAACTATATATTTTTTCTTCATAACTTGCAACAAAATGTAAATTTCATTTAACGTCCTTCGTGGCATCAGCTAGGAGATTCACATACTTTCAAGCACGCGTGTGTTTGTATGCGAACATGCAGCACAGCATAGAATGCATCATAAATATAGAGAATATGCAATTAAATACATGCATAAATATGTACATATATTTACATAAATGCCTTTACACTAAGAGAAAA